GGGCAGCTGCTCTCCTTTGACATTGGGGACCAGCCTGTCTTCGAGATTCCTCTCAGCAACGTGTCACAGTGCACCACGGGCAAGAACGAGGTGACGCTAGAGTTCCACCAGAATGATGACGCGGAGGTCTCCCTCATGGAGGTGCGCTTCTATGTCCCGCCCACCCAGGAGGATGGCGTGGACCCTGTCGAGGTGAGGCCTTTGCTGTCTTCTGTAGGAGCAGGCGTAACCCAGTGGGCCTTGGCCAGCTGGATAACCGGATATGCCTTCTAGGCCTTTGCCCAGAACGTGCTGTCAAAGGCAGACGTCATCCAGGCCACTGGAGACGCCATCTGCATCTTCCGGGAGCTGCAGTGCCTGACGCCACGTGGTCGGTATGACATCCGCATCTACCCCACCTTCCTGCACTTGCACGGCAAGACCTTCGACTACAAGATCCCCTACACCACGGTGCTGCGCCTCTTCCTGCTGCCCCACAAGGACCAGCGCCAGATGTTCTTCGTGATCAGTCTGGACCCCCCAATCAAGCAGGGCCAGACGCGGTACCACTTCCTCATCCTACTCTTCTCCAAGGACGAGGACATCTCCTTGACCCTCAACATGAGCGAGGAAGAGGTGGAGAAGCGCTTCGAGGGGCTGCTCACCAAGAACATGTCCGGGTCGCTCTATGAGATGGTCAGCCGGGTCATGAAAGCGCTTGTGAACCGCAAGATCACGGTGCCTGGCAATTTCCAAGGGCACTCGGGGGCCCAATGCATCACCTGCTCCTACAAGGCCAGCTCGGGGCTGCTGTACCCGCTGGAGCGGAGCTTCATCTATGTCCACAAGCCGCCTGTGCACATCCGCTTCGACGAGATCTCCTTTGTCAACTTCGCCCGAGGCACCACCACCACCCGCTCCTTTGACTTTGAGATTGAGACCAAGCAGGGCACGCAGTATACCTTCAGCAGCATTGAGAGGGAGGAGTATGGAAAACTCTTCGATTTTGTCAACGCGAAGAAGCTGAACATCAAAAACCGAGGACTGAAAGAGGGCATGAACCCGAGCTACGATGAGTACGCCGACTCTGATGAAGACCAGCACGATGCCTACCTGGAGCGCATGAAGGAAGAGGGCAAAATCCGGGAAGAGAACGCCAACGACAGCAGCGATGAGTCTGGCGAGGAGACGGATGAGTCGTTCAACCCCGGGGAGGAGGAGGAAGACGTGGCTGAGGAGTTTGACAGCAACGCCTCGGCCAGCTCGTCCAGCAATGAGGGTGACAGCGACCGGGAAGAGAAGAAAAGGAAACAGCTCAAAAGGGCCAAGACGGCCAAGGATCGCAAGAGCCGCAAGAAGACTGCGGAGGCAAAGAAGGGCAAAGACCCCAACGCCCCCAAGAGGCCAATGTCTGCATACATGCTGTGGCTCAACGCCAGCCGGGAGATCAAGTCAGACCACCCCGGCATCAGCATCACGGACCTCTCCAAGAAGGCTGGCGAGATCTGGAAGGGGATGTCCAAGGAGAAGAAGGAGGAGTGGGACCGCAAGGCTGAGGACGCCAGGAGGGAGTACGAGAAAGCCATGAAAGAGTATGAAGGAGGCCGCGGCGAGTCTTCCAAGAGGGACAAGTCGAAGAAGAAGAAGAAAGTGAAAGCGAAGATGGAGAAGAAATCCACGCCCTCTCGGGGCTCCGCGTCCAAGTCGTCGTCCAGGCAGCTGAGTGAGAGCTTCAAGAGCAAGGAGTTCGTGTCCAGTGACGAGAGTTCTTCGGGAGAGAACAAGAGCAAGAAGAAGCGGCGGAGGAGTGAGG